CAAATGCAAGGATTATTATTATTATTTAAATAACACTTTTCACATGAGATAGCATCTCGGACCGCTTAACAGTGGCAGAGCCTGATGTCGAGGTGTGGGATCAGGAGGGGTGGAGGGCAGGGAGGAGAGGGGTAGGAGGGTGGCTCATTTCAAAAATAGCTTGAACAGAGCATGGCAAGGTGGGTGATCCAGAGGGACAAGTCGTCGGGCTTTCTTCACTGATCTTGTGAAAAGGGACATTTCACTCTTTGTGATACTGTCATTTCAGTGTCAAATTACTAAGCCATTTGTCTGATCTGCACTGCAGGAACTGCATAAAAGCCAATGCATTTTAGAGCAGGGAGATGCAATTAAGTTTAATACACAGTGCACATTCAACACATAAAAAAAGTAATTAAAATCTGACCCAAACAGTAGAGTGCAGTTCCATCGGGGCTGTACCGGAAGTTTGATCTGCATCTACAAGAAGGTCAGAAATAAACAAAATATTCCCAGTTAAGTTGCTAAAAAAAATTGAACTTCTCTTTAGTAGGGATATGAAAAAAATCTCTTTAAATGGAAAAACAAAATAGTTTTGTCTGCAGTCAATGCGCGCTTCCGTTTGTTCAGTACATGATTATCAGAACTTGTACAGTGTCTTCCTGTGAGACTTCTGTGGTCACTTTAACAGAAAGCATGCACGCAAGACCATTCGGAGTCCCACTGAATCTTAGGTTTTTGTTGTTTGTTTTGAAAACAGCCCATGTTATAAGCGGCTTTCACTCGCTTGCCATTTACGAGGTCATTGGGGGAAAGGGGATAATTTGCAAGAATAGTGAAAAAAAGGATTTGCAAATATTGGATGCCTGCTTTGGCTGCAATCCAATTTCACGGAGATTTCAAGTGAGTTTGGATCCAGTGGTTCATTTGGAAAAGCACATCATGATACTGTGAGAATTGCTATTTACAAATCTTGAAAATCCCCATGTGTCACAGAGTAGAGGAAATCATCTTGGACTCTCCAATGCTTCTCCTTCCTACTGACCTCTGGTACTAGATTACTGATGACTACTCCAAAACAACAACAACAACAACAACAAGATTCCATTTATAGAGCGCCTTTCACGTCAGGAGGACGTCCCAAGGCGCTGCACAGTTGGGTCATGACCCGAGCAGGGGGGAAATGGTCAGGGTGAGGGGAGGGAAGGGAGGGAGAGAGGAGGGGGAAATGGTCAGGGTGAGGGGAGGGAAGGGAGGGAGCGAGGAGGAGGAAGAGAGTCGAGAGGGGAGCTGAAGGCACGGTCAAAGAGAAAGGTTTTGAGACCGGCCTTGAAGGAGGAAAGGGAGGAAGCAAGGCGAAGGCACTGGGGATGGAGTTCCAGAGCCTCGGGGCTGAGAGGCTGAAGGCCCGACCACCGATAGTAGGGCGGTTGGGGCGGGGGACGTGGAGCAGACCGGAGCCAGAGGAACGGAGGGTACGGGCAGGGGTGAAGTGGATTTAAAGCTTTGTTAGAAGTCTTGTTCATTCCAATACAAACGGTCTTACGCATAGACCACAAAGAGCAGCAATGACATTGAAAAAGACCTCCTCGAAAACGGTAGGATTCCTGGTGCCTCTGCACCGAGAGTAAACAACAACTTGCATTTACATTCAAGATCCTCATCCTCACCTACAAGGCCATTCACGGCCTTGCTCCCTCCTACCTCTCTGACCTACTATCCCCCTACTTACCTGCCCGGACCCTCCGTTCCTCTGGCTCCGGTCTGCTCCACATCCCCCGCCCCAACCGCCCTACCATCGTTGGCCGGGCCTTCAGCCTCTCAGCCCCCAGGCTCTGGAACTCTATCCCCCAGTGCCTTCACCTTGCTTCTTCCCTTTCCTCCTTCAAGGCCGGTCTCAAGACCTTTCTCTTTGACCGAGCCTTCAGCTCCCCTCTCGACTCTCTACCCCCTCCTCGCTCCCTGCCTTCCCTCCCCTCACCCTGACCATTTCCCCCCCCAATGCTCGGGTCCTGACCCAACTTTACAGCGCCTTGGGACGTCCCCCCGATGTGAAAGGCGCTCTATAAATGGAATCTTGTTGTTGTTGTTGTATATAGCGCCCTTCACCCTGGATGGCTTCCACGAGGTAAAAGGTTGTTTTAACAGGGAATTCCATCCTGTGAAGTGAGTGGGGTTATTTTAGGTAATATTCGGTGAAACATAACACATTTCAAAGCAGACTTAACATCGTAATTGGCCCACTGAATCTGTTCGGCAACATTGCATTTGCATTAAACCATGTATTTAATTAATTTAATAAGGCAGTAGTGAGCATTCAAATTCAATTTTCCACTTCTGGCGAGGACAGCGGATGAAGCAAGAGAGATGTTCTAACTCCACTTGAATCCAAGTTTCCACCTCTAACAAGGACACTGTTTGAGTCAAGCAAGATCAAGTTGTTCCAACTCCTGTTAGTCATTTTAAAAGAATTTAAATCTTGCACTTCTTGCCATACAAGGCAACACTGCATTAGCCAACTAAACAGCATTACGTTTGGACTATTGTAAAAGTATTTTAAAAATGACAATTGTTAAAGGTAGCCGTGTGTTTGAGATTTTATCATGTATCGTTGCCATATTGCAGGTTAGATTAAAACAGGAGAAACCAGTGATTCATTATTACTGCTGTTTGCCTTTGCCTTAGTGGTTGCTCTCTGCTCAAGTTGCACCTATTGTGTCTCCCGTACCTGCAGTCTTTGTTTTAGAAGCTGGAAATACTGGTAGTAGAGAGCCTGATCTCCACTCTAACTTAATTATGAAAGCCTTGTGGTTATTGGGTTATGATGCAAAATATATACTGTATTAGGAAGCTTTTGGTCATCTTTTCCTTCCTTATTGTTTCATTGTAACTCCTGTTGTCTCTGGTGTCTACATATTGATGCACTGTAGTGAGCAGTGCCACCTACAGTGGAGCAATGAAAATAACAGCCACCAGAAAAGAAACACTATTTAAATGCTTTGAAAATTTGCTCTATGTCTAAAATCACTTCTCTTGCTACTGCAAGAGATTTATTTTCATGTCATAATGTTTACATATGGATACTATACAATGTATACAATATAGCTATAGTCACTATTCGATTTTATTTTAACATCAAAATTGTCTAATGATGAAATATTTAACTGTGGTTTAGGGTCTGCAAGGCTTGTGAGCTGATTCAAGTCTGTAAAGCAGACAACTAATCTGAATACTAGGCAATACATTAATAGTTTGTTAATGAAGAAACATAATGGTTTGAAAAGCATATCTTGAATAAAAAAAATCAGCGAACTAATTAAGATTTAATGGTGATTTAAAATTATGTGGTTTGAATATCAGTTTATAAAGCAGAATAATTTTACATTACCATTAAAGTGTAACAGCACTAATCCATGACTAATTAAAGAGACAGAGTTTGCCAACCTTTGCATTGTTTGCTAAAGGGAAAAAAGGCAGAAATTCATTACACGCAGTAGTTATTTTAAGAACTCCAAAAAAAAACTATCTTCAAGGATAAGTCAGAAATCAGCAACCTGACACATTCTGTATGCTCAGAAATGCTCAGAAAATGGAGTAAATCTAGACCCAAGTGGAATTTCTGTCCCAGTATGGTGTCAAGCAGGCAATAAGTAGGAATTTTGTGCACAGTTTGAAAGGGACCTTCCTCCCTTACAATACAGTAGTAACCACAGTGGTGTTTCTTTTCCAATGATTTATCTTTGACATTGAAAAATAAAGTTGTAAACTGTTCTTACCAGTACTTTTTCCCCATTTCATTTTTTTACACAATGTTATTCATGTTAGAAAGGCACTTGCTCAATTGCATATTATCATTTGCCTTGTGCATGAATTATTATTAAAGGAGGATTAGCAGAGATCAAATGTGTTTGACAGTTCTTTGAAACTCCATCCAAAGAAAGCAGTTGGATTGGATCCAGGTCAACTTGATACAAAACCTGGAAACCTCAGCTCTTAGCTAAGACAAGGTCTGAATCTTCCCAGATGCTATAAACTGAGTTCCATACATTGGAACTGAGCAATGTATGGAACAGACTAGTGGTTATTGGATAGATTCTTCTACAAAATGCACAGTAACTGCAATTACATTATATCCTGCAAAGCACTTTGAGACATCCTCGAAACATGAAAGCCCCTATATCAAATGCAAGGATTATTTATCCTCGGCAATTTATGGCGCACAAATAAATCCTTTTCTTTAAAGAAAAGCTTTAAAACAATTATTTTAGGAGGTATGTTGAAAGTTAGAATAAAAGCGTAATCAGATATTCTGCGGAAAAAGAGGATTTTCTGCTGAGACTTAGTCAGAGCTGTTTGAGGTGGTGGAAAACTGGGCAAATATTCTAGAGTGTACATTATCTTTGGGTGTCTGGAGTTTAACTTCTTGGATATTCCATTTGTGGTTCATTTATGCTCATTACTTCCTTCAGCAGTTTTAGAGGGTGACCATGGAAAATGCTAGGGTGAGGGCTTAGCACATGTCATGAGCGAAGAGCGGTAAAAGTACCTGAGATTCCCTTTCAGAAGTTGTAATTACCAGACGACTGATTCCTGGCTTAGTCTGATGTGCAGTACAGAATGAAAGAGTCTGTGTGGTTGCCTCGTTTGGAAGAATATATAATTTCATGCTGCAGTTGTGCTGTTGGTAACAAAGCCAGCAGTATAGGCATGATCAGTAAGGTAAAATACAGTCAGCACAGATCTGGGGGAAGGTGAGCCCAATATGATTCATATCCACTGCAGTTAAATTTATACAGCATCTCTGCACCTGAAACCATCTCCTTTAGGTAATGCGGGGATGATGGTTTAAGTGTGATTCAAGCTCAAAATATCTGACATTCCCTCCTCCACCTGCTGTCATTGGCCACCAATGTACAATATAAAGACAGTAATAGATACATCCGATCCATTATATTTGTGAAATTAAGATGCTTTTTCCACATTTTACTGATTCAAATCTTATTCGTGATTCTCCATGGAAGAAGTGTGCTCACATGAAGGGAAAGTGTTTAACAACAGAGACATCTGGAAACCAGAGCCGTGCAGAATCTGCGTTTGCGACACTGGGAACATCCTCTGTGACGAAATACCGTGTGATGATGTAGACTGCCCGGATGCTGAGATCCCCTTTGGAGAATGCTGTCCTATATGTCCAGAAACTCCCACTGTAAGAAGCTTTTCCTTACTGTATTTTCAGTCATTGCACAAATGCTAATATTTTAGCTGCTGCTACTGCAAAACTGCTGCTTCATTTTGGCTCCAAATGTTAAATGTTTGATATATATAGAAAAATTAGACGGGATCTTATAGAAACCTATAAGATCATCAAAGGGCATGATAGAGTAGATAGTGGGAGATTGTTTCCCCGGTTGGAGAAACTAAAACCAGGGGTCACAACCTTAAAATCAGAGGCCAGCCCTTTCGTACTGAGTTGAGGAAGAACTTCTTCACTCAAAGGCTGGCGAACGCATGGAACTCGCTACCCCAAAGGGCTGTTGACGCTCAGTCCTTGAAAATATTCAAGACTGAGATAGATAGATTTCTTATTGCAAAAGGGATTAAGGGATACGGGGATAAGGCAGGGACAGGTTATTAGCTGGAGTTAGATTAGAAGATCAGCCATGATTGAATGGCGGGGCAGACTCGAAGGGCCAAATGGCCTACTCCTGCTCCTACATGTTATGTTATGTTATATTAATATTTTCAATATTTAAAAGCGTTTAGTGGCACAGAATGATATGTGACTTGACTTTTGATTAAAATATTCTTAGCTGAATATTCATTTCACTTTATTGTTTGTAACTCTGTCACAAACTGCTTGATCAGCTCCACTCAAGTTTAATACTGATTCAAATATTTTTAAGAATTCAAGAATTTACAATGAGCAAAAAGATAACACGAGGAGCCACAGGCCGGTGAGTCTGACATCTGTATAGGGAGAATGTTGGAGGGAAGAATAATAAAGTACTTGCAAAAAGATATAGACTGAAATTGCATCTAGTATTAGGACGTATGACTTTTTACCTTAAAATTGTGAGATCATTCTGAATTGTGGAAAATTTAAAATTTAAAAATATCTTTTTAGAATCTGCACAAAAAGCAACTTCCAGTTTAAGAACAATTTTAAGCTTTTTCCACAATTTGGGGCTATCCTTACATTTTCAGACAAATACGGTGGGATATGAATTACAGTTCGGACTCGACACTGTTTGGTGGGAGGAGGATTGACGAATATATTGGAGTTTGAAAAATAAAGGAACTGGCTCCCCATCCCTCAGAGGATCAAATTCAAGATCCTCGCCCTCACTTTCAAAGCCATCCATGGCCTTGCCCACTCCTACCTCTCAGACCTGCTTTCTCCCTACCAACCTGCTGCTCCCTCAGTTCATCAGACTCCGGTCTGCTCCATGTCTCCCTCCCGACCCACCCTACCATCGGTGGCTGAGCTTTCAGCCTCTCTGCCCCCACACTCTGGAACTCCATCCCACGGTCCCTTCGCCTCGCTTCCTCCCTTGCCTCCTTCAAGGCCGGTCTGAAGACCCTCCTCTTCCATCGTGCCTTCGGTCTCCCTCCCACATCTCTGCCTTCCCTCACCCCTTCCCCAACCCTCCCCATGCTCGGGTCCTGACTCCTGCCTGTCCAGTGCCTTTGGACGTCCTCCCGACGTGAAAGGCGCTTTATAAATGTAATTTTGTTGTTGTTGTAGGTTGGCATAGGTCCAGTATTCAGCAGGACAAGTCCGTTTCTGTAAAGTATGCTGAACTGGTTTTCAATATACTGATATAAAATCTATTTCTTTGCAGAATGGTATTAAACCCAAAGGACCAAAAGGGGATCCAGTAAGTTTGAAACATTTCAATCTATTTTAATGTGCACATGAGAAAAGCTTTTGTGCTTGTTTTGCAACAATGCAGTGACAAAGATTCAGCAGAGCAATGCCAGTATTATGATATTTGATCATTTCCTACCATACAACTCTGAATGCAATTTTTCACATTGAATACATGCCTAAATAAATAGTGCTCTGTTCTTGCTAGCATTATCCACTATTACGTTATCAGTGTGACATTTTAAGATATTAATGTCCTGGAATGGCTTCCGAATAAAATCCATTTGAAGTAATTTAATGTTACTAGGTCAAGTTAATTTCTACCAGAGCTGACACTCGTTTGTTAATTATTTAAAATGCATTAAATATATCCTTGTAGTGAAACACAATCATTAAAATTGCTGCCTTCTCCACAGATATAAGCACACACACCATACATAGAGATGTATAGCATACGCACACTTTATATGCACATAGCTCATAAGAAGAGCATAGTTGGAGAAGTAGGCTTTTAATCCTATGCTAAACGTTCAAATTCCAATTTGTTCCATTCTGAGTAAGCGTGAATGTTGGAGATGATTATAACTGCAATTTTCACTTTTATTTTATAACAAAAATGCAATCAGTTTTCTGAATATATAAGAAAGCATTGCAAGAAGCACTTAGATATAATTTAAGGGCCATTCATTTAAAATGAATGTGGTAAATACTTAATTCAAGTAAGTTACCTGCTCCCATATATCTTCCCCACATCCCTCTATTCTTCTCCTTATGACCACTATTTACAAGTATCTGTCTGTATGCAAGTTTGTCATTGAAACTGTTATCTCACTATTAATTCTGTTACTTGGTAACATCATTGGTAGCAATTATTGGCTCTAAAATTAACAAACTTGCAATGTATTTATCAGTTTAGTTATGCAACAATGAACCTTAAATATATATGAAAAGACAAACCTAAGTGGCATGTTGATAATTTGAGAGCAACTAAGTTTAGATACATTTTAAAGAATTATTACATTTAGGATACATTTTAATAAACATCTTCACATCTGGTGTTACAATACCTTAATTCAATGTGTATAGCTGCAAATATCTATGATAATGACAAGAAAATGAACTTGTTGCTAAGTTAACTATAAATTATTTTTCTATTCTACAAGTAGTCAGATTTTCTGCTTGTTGAGGTGAGGTACGGAACGCTTTTCTTTGGATAGCCCTGTCCTCATTGAACATTCTCAATTCAAGTACAACAAGGCTAAGCTTGCTCTACTCTGCAAATTAATGAGAAGAAATTCCACCAGGGTCTTGATTCATTCTACAGTATTAACGTAGCATTTGAGAGCGTTCAGAATTTGACAACTTGTTAAATGCAGATCTGAGTTTTGAAGCCAGGATTTTTGTACGATCTTTTAAAAACTGTAGAAAACTGCTTTTAAAGTTAAGAATAAGAGTAACAAATCGCCAAATTGTAGATGCCCTGAAATGCTACGTTAATAAAGTAAATCTGGACCCCAGTGGAATTTCACGCCAAATATAACTTGACCCTAACTTCAGATGAGCATTTCCCTGCAAATCAATCTGACATTTTTCCATTGTCTACATCAGCCATCTGCACAGTTTTGTTGGAACAAGATTGACAATCTATCACCAATTTCTGCTAATTTGCCATGAACCTGTTCTGATTTTGAAAAAAATTGATTGATAGACAGCTTCATTTTTATTAACGTGCATCTGTTGCAGACAGTAGAGAGGTGAGGCTTTAATCCCATCAATGTGAGTTTGATTCCAGTGAAATTCTTTACCCTTTTATTTTCTCGTAGGGTCCGGCCGGGCCACCTGGAAGAAATGGTTATCCAGGACCTCCTGGTCCCCCTGGACTTCCAGGCCTACCCGGCGGTGGTAGCAGCGTAAGTAGACTATCTAATAGTAGATAAATGATAAATCTTCCATTCGTGGTACAGTAAACCCGTGTCTTACAGGACTCCTGGTAAGCGCTCTGAGACGCTACCCTGCATGGAGGGCGCTGTACAGTGCAAGTTGTTGTTGTATACAGGATCTAGCTGAACTGGGCCCAAAACAGACATGTGGACTCCTTCCAGTTTGTATTCCGCGAGCAGAAGACAGCGAATAAGTCCTCCTGATGTGAAAGGTGCTGTATAAATGTAAATGTGTACTGTATTGATTTCTGATTTTACTTCTCTCCAGGGGTCTGGTGGGTATGGTCCTCCAGTAGGATGGGATTTCAAAGGCCTCAGTGGTGGTGGTGGTGGTGGGGCATATGGGATAGTTAGTCAACCGGTAAGATGGGTTTTCTTTCACTTTATATATCAGCCACGGAAGTGGTACACGGTCAATAACTGAAATCATTTCTAACTTGTCTGCTTTCCATGAAGTCCTTAAATTAAAAATTTATGTGCTATTTTAGGGCCTTCAAGGACCGAGAGGCATTCGTGGATCACCTGGGTCACCTGTAAGTATCCGTTGGTGTTTGGGTGTTTAGTTTTTCACTTGGAATGCTCATGCACTGGGGAAAATAAGATTGGGGGAGTTCTTTGTGAAGCATTTAAAGTCTAACAACCAGCAACAAACTCAAATACAATAACAGATTTAACATGGTTTACAAAGCTCAGAAAAGGGAAAGTGACCCGACAAGTCAGATTTAATACCTTTACACAGAGTTTGGTGAACACGTGGTATAGGTGACAGAGGGAGCCCAACAGAGAAAGATTGTGTCAGGAAATGCAAAAGGAATCCAGTGGCTACACATCGAAGAATTTAATCTAGTAGGATGAGAGTGAGGTTGTGTAGAATAACTTAGTCAGCGTTCTTTCTTTTAACTTGGCACAGTGGACTTTTGTGACCTTATGTTCCTGTGATCTTAGTGAACCTTCCCAGCTGATTGATCAATGGGAATATTTGAAAATTGTTCCATTTCGATTGACATAAAAAAGTCATAACGAGAAAAGAGTCACTGTATGCTTCGCTCGTTGGTTTTATCAGCAACAAACGTGTTTTTTTTATATCAACAACATTGATAAATGACTAAAATATTATAGCATTGTGACATATTATGACTAAAATATTATGGTAAAACTTTATTGCTCTTCTGTTTTATTCATAAATGTTTCCACTTCATCTCAGATTCCGACGCTGAATTCGCTACTTAGGGAAAGCGTGCTTGAAATAAGCAGCTGTATTAGTCAACGACAGACAATTCAGACATATTCATCAAATACTGTGTAAACGTTCACACTGTTTCAGCCCAAATAATAATGTGTGATGTTTCGATTACTCCAGGGTTCTCAAGGTTATCAAGGCCCAGCAGGTGAGCCCGGGTCACCTGGCTCCAGTGTGAGTATCTAACAACGGATAGAATACTATAATTAGTACTTGTAGAGTGATGTACTAAATAATACAGTGTTTGAAAAGGTCAGTCCATAGGATTCCATTTATTTCACCCAAACATCCATTTGTGACCAGGCAATTGATTCTTATTATTAGAAGCAGAAGGTTTCTGACGTTACCAGGCAACTGCAGAATACAGTTTTTTGTTTTCTCACAAATCAGTTACTAATAATTTTTTAGTAATAATTCTAGCTTCCCAATGTAGCACCTGCTGAGACCAGCAAACTCAGCAAAGACCAGGATTGGTACCGATTTAGTGCGTAAGATGCATCTCCATCCAATACACCATCATGAGAACGGCTCTGAATTTTATTGCATTAACAATAATAAAGGAATAATTGGTAGAGTTAAGATGTGGATCGCAGAAATTCTCTCTCCATCATGTCCCTTCACTGTACCCATCTTTGAGACCCATCTTTTTTCATTAGATGTAAAGGTCATTCTTTTTACTGATCCACGTATGATAGATCTTTTCTTTTTCAATGACGAGTTGAGCTCAATCTCACAAATGGTAAAACTATGGATTCCATTTTTTGCATATAGAGCTCCATGCTTCATGTGATGAATATGTAATGTCAGAACCAGTGCCGATGCCTCACATTCTGTCAGTGCTTCTTTAAGATGAAGAATTACTGTATTGTAATGAGTCTATCATACCGTGTAACACAAAAAGTCACATCAGCACTGCTTAACCTGTTCAGCATTTTTCCCATTGCAGGGTTCACAAGGTCCTCCTGGTCCATTGGGTCCACCTGGGTTACGAGGAAAGGATGTAAGTAGCTTGACTAATGCTTTGATTCTCTACTTGCTCTCAGTAAATCTGCTTGTAACATGATAATCCTATTATCACACAGCCAGTAAAAGATTCAATTAATGATGTAGGCCCTAATGGTCCCAAATGACATCAGGTTGTGGGACTCAAATCCCATGCAGGGACATTAAGATGACAGTATAACATGATAATCTAGTGTAATCCTGGAAGAGCATTATGTTGTCAGAAGTGACATCTCTCCGATGAGAAATTAAACTGAGGTACCGTTTACCTGTTCATTTGGATATTAAATTGTCACCATGGTACTGTTCGAAAAGACAAGGGAGTTTCTCCAGATGTCCTGGCCAATAGTGCACCAGATAAAGTTGGTCATTCTCTTCATAGTTATTTGTGGCATATTGCTGTGTAAATATTAGATTCTATATTAATCTACAAATACACTCGCTACACTTCATAGTTCATCTTATGAAGCACTGAACATTTCAATTATGTTGTAAGCCATCATGTCAAGTGGAAAGATTGTTATTATTAGTAGTATTGCAGGGATTAAACATATTTGTGTCACTTTGTTTCAAATTAGGGTGATTCTGGGAGAGCAGGGAGACCTGGCGAGCCTGGACCTCCAGGTCTTACAGTGAGTAATCATTGAATGGAACCACCGATTTCATTCCGCTTCACAATTTGAATAAGTAAAGCGTAGAACTGAGAAAAATACTGTTGCTGAAGCCAAATCGATTGAGGGTACTATAGAGTTGATGTAATTTTACCTTTGGTATCAGAGTTCAGTGCCTTGGCACGTCCTCCTGACGTGAAAGGCACTATACAAATGTAATCTGTTGTTGTTGTTGTTGTGCGTATTCCTGTGGGTGATTTTCTTCAAACATTTGTTATTTCTTGTTGAAAGGGTCCCCATGGCCGACCAGGAATGTCTGGCATGCCTGGAATGAAGGGTCACAGAGTAAGTTTCTATGGTCTTTGTTTCTTATTGCATTACTAATGTTACATATCTGCATTGATGATAATATTAAATATTTGTGTTCCCACTTATTCTAAATGAAAGGTCAGTGCTCATGATCAGAGGCTACTCACGAACAGGCAGTATCAATATCAAGCCTGTTGCTGGCCCCAGACTAACTCAGTGTCTCTTACAGGGTTTTGATGGACGTAATGGAGCTAAAGGTGAAACTGGAGCTCATGGCTTGAAGGTGATTGTTACAATAAGTCAGAAATTTAAACGTTTTATCCGACTGCTGACTCACAGTAAAGCGACAATAGTGTGTGGTTCTAAGACAACTTATTTTTGTATCTAACACAGGGTGAAGTCGGGGCTCCTGGAAACAATGGTGTTCCTGGCCAGATGGTAAATAATCTGTGTGTTTAACAAGGAATTCAAGTTCTAATTCATTGACTGGTGGGTCAGAGAGGGTGCGGAATAATACAGGATAGTAAATCCACTGTTAAGTTCCCCTTTATGGGGAATGGTCCATTTGTGTGAGGTACATAACTCCAGACCAGGAGCTAGGACATGCCAAATCTCAGCACAACTGCAGTTTTGAGTGACAGAGAATGCTAACACATCTTTGCTCCTGGTATCTTATCTGTACTCTATTTCAGGAGCCTGTCTAAAATAAGGAACATGAGATGATAGCAATCAGTCAAATAGTGCATGACATCTTCCAGGACTGGAATTTCCAAATTTTCTATATTGTCTAATATTTTGTAACTCAGTTTACTCTGGAAAGGATGAATGAGGCAATGGCAAGTATTCATGAATTGTGACTAATTTATCAGTTCTTCACTCCTTTTCATGCACAACTAACTGTGTTTGTATAATGTTTGTAGAAGAAGCATTGCTTGATATTGGAGATTCTTGTTTTATGCTTTATCCAGTAAAATGCCCTTATTCTGCATACTAGGGTTCTCGTGGCCTCCCTGGTGAGAGAGGACGTGCTGGAAATCCAGGATCTTCTGTAAGTACCATCAATAACATTGTCCCGTTCCCATGGAATGAATGTTCCTCCCTTATGATACAAAAATACATCTACCAAACAATATTACAGATAACAAACATATGCCATTAAGACACAGAGGAGTATACACCCTGAATAAAAGTGTAAGGAAATGTATTTAATTTTTTCTGAATATATATATATATATCAGACCACAGAACATAGCAAGGTTTAAATCATTCTAAGTCAGTCTTTTTTGTTCCAAGTAATTATTTTCAAGTAATTACAGCGAATTAAGTTACATTTTTCAACAAACTGCAGAATTCCTCTCTTGCGCAAATGCTGTACAATGCCAGTGAATGCTGCCAAATGGGTCATAGACTTCTGAAATGAAAACCATTGTGTGTTCATACGGTGACATTGGATCAGTAAATAATTCTTTCAATAGTTGTGTGGTTATATTAACCTCAGACTTGGTAACTGTTATTGAATATTGTGAATAATCATTTAATGTTTTAATTCAATGTTTTAATTTTGACACTAATTTATTACTTGAGTTGCTTACCTTCTTGATACCAGTTTACTTTGGTTGAGTTTTAATTTAGTTCCCAAATAAGCAGCCGTCTGATATGAAGCTCTTTTATTTCTTTAGGGCAGTCGTGGTCACGATGGATTACCTGGCAAAGATGGCACAGCAGTAAGTGAAGCACTGTTTTCTGGAATGTGTTTTATCAGCTTCACTACACCCATTTGTACTGCAGTCTTCATTCAGTTATTACCCACCTTTATTTACTACATAACTTTGTATTTTATTTCACCTAGGGTCAAGATGGCAAACCTGGCTCACCTGGTTTTCCAGGAATCGCAGGTCATAAGGTATGTTGAAATGAAGGACATGTGGCCATCACTTGGATTGCTGGATGTTCCACAGCCACCTGGCTCTTATTCTGCTAATATTCTAATTCAACAACAACAACAAGATTCCATTTATAGAGCGCCTTCACGTCGGGAGGACGTCCCAAGGCGCTGTACAGTTGAGTCAGGACCCGAGCAGGGGGGAAGTGGTCAGGGTGAGGGGAAGGAAGGGAGGGAGCGAGGAGGGGGTAGAGAGTCGAGAGGGGAGCTGAAGGCACGGTCAAAGAGAAAGGTCTTGAGACCGGCCTTGAAGGAGGAAAGGGAGGAGGCGGCGAAGGCACTGCGGGATGGAGTTCCAGAGCCGAGGGGCTGAGAGGCTGCAGACCCGGCCACCGATGGTAGGGCGGTTGGGGCGGGGGATGTGGAGCAGACCGGAGCCAGAGGAACGGAGGGTACGGCAGGTAGGTAGGGGGATAGTAGGTCGGAGAGGTAGGAGGGAGCAAGGCCGTGAATGGCCTTGTAGGTGAGGATGAGGATCTTGAATTCGATCCTCTGGGGATGGGGAGCCAGTGGAGGCGAGCGAGGGTGGGAGTGATGTGGTCCCGAAGCCTGGTGCGGGACAGTACACGAGCTGCAGAGTTCTGAATGACCTGCAGCTTGTGGAGGGAGGTGGCGGGAAGGCCGGCGAGGAGAGAGTTCCCGTAGTCCAGCCTTGAGGTGATAAAGGCGTGGACCAGAGTTTCAGCAGCGTGAGGGGTGAGGTAGTGCCGTAGTCTGGCGACATTCCGGAGGTGATGGAAGGCGGTGCCAGTTGTGGTGCAGATATGAGGAAGAAAGGACAGCTCAGGGTCGAACAGAAACCCGAGGTTCCTGATGGCTTTGAGAGGTGGAGAGTGCAGCCTTTGATGCTGATGTTGTCAGCGCCTGAGGTGCGGAGGCGCTGACGCGAGCCAATCAGGAGGGGCTCAGTTTTGCGCACGTTGTGCTGAAGAAAGTTGCCTCTCGTCCAGGACTTGATGTCAGACAGGCATTCAAATCTATTCAGAGATGACTGCTTAAAACATATTCATGTGAATAATATTGATATGAAAACAAATGATTTATTGGATTTCCCACTCTGAATTTGCCATAGTACATATATACTCAACGGTTGCATTGTCTATCAGGTGCGAATAATAATGTACTGATACTAATATAAGGGTTCTTAGTGAGCAGAATGAATCTACCAAGATTCTGTCTAGTCTCAAATTCAGCTTGAAGTCCAAGTATCTAATGAATTGGAAGAGAAGTTAATGTTTTACTGATACTGTTCAATGAAAATGAATTTGTGGTGGTACAGGGCATTAATGCTACTAAGAGGTGTTTGGGAGTTTGACAAGATCAAAGACCAGCTTTCTAAAATGTCCCTCGAAAACTATATCTCACATGTTTAGGAATCAAATGTTTAAATTAATCTGAATTGTTTGCATGGATAAATATTTTTAAAAATGTGAGCATCCAAATGAAAGATTTTTATAAGTAATTCCGCCCAAACTGTGCCAAAGAATTATAGACGCACAAATGGAATCTGTTTCTGGGGAATACATTGAAGCAGTAACATAATGAACCATTTTATAGTGAATGAAGAACTTGGAGATTAGAATGGGGAAACTGGGTTTATATTTACTGCTCCAATCTGCCAGAAGTTGGTGCCTTTAGTTTCAGTGTATTGAGGTGCCTGTGATTCTGGTTCTAACTATTAACTTCTTTTTTGATAGGGTGAGTCTGGCACACCAGGTTCTCGGGGATTTAATGGTATTCCAGGGAAAATGGGAGAACCAGGACACCAGGGTCCCTCCGGAACTCCGGGTACACCTGTACGTAACTAATTCTCTCGTGAAACCTTTTTATTTGTCAGAACTCAGTCGATACACGGCATCAGCATCTCCGTCTGTTGATTTGTTTTCTAGGGCAATCGCGGAAAAGATGGATCGCCTGGTTCCAGAGGTTCAATGGTTAGTTATAACAAAACCAAACTTTGTTCATTTCACCCACAGAATACACAGGCAATCCACTTTATAGTATATCCTGTGAAGCGCATTGAGACAGCTCGAAGAGATGATAAGGCGCTATATCAAATGCAAGGATTATTATTATTATTTACACGGCATCATCAAAGTTAAAACTGCACAAGGGATAAAATCAAATGATACAATGAGAGCCTGCATTATTCAACTGCTTTGCATCCATCACATGAATATTATAAACTAATTGGCCGTGCCATGCCATACACCATGATATGGTTTGTTCTTTGACAGCATTAATCGGCATGCGAGTATATCACTGACTTCATTGAAGAAAAAAATTAACAACTGTTTTTAAGAGCCCATTGAAAGAAACTACATTGGATCTGATTTGATTTCTTGTCCTATTTTCAGTCCAACATTTGATCTATATATACATTTGGATCCCTGCTTAAGGAATATCTTTGTTAAAATAGATTAGACTGTAATCATCCTTTTATGAAGCACTCTGTGACATTTATCCTACATGAAGGGTCAATATAAAAACTATATTGTTGTTGTCTGAGGCTGCTCTTGAATAATTCTATTTATTTCCACATGTCAGGGTCCTTCTGGTATTCCTGGCAACCCTGGTGGTCCAGGTCCTATTGGCCACCCAGGTTCCTCAGGGGCTGTCGGAGGTCCTGGACCTAGAGGTTTACCGGTAAGAATGTTTGCTAATTATTCTTATACCTCTAGCTAACAGAATAATTCACATGAATGGCACTGGTCCTACAGATCAGACAGACTCATCAGCAACAGCACCAGTACATCAACATCAACAAAATAACTGAAACGTTGAGAAATAATATTCAAAATCTGTTCTAATAAATGTACACTGTTATAACCACAATAGGAACACACAGATTAAATTGATGTATGTATGTATCCAGACAATGGAACTGATAGTTACCCCAAAGGGCTGTTGACCCTCAGTCCTTGAACGTATTCAAGATTGAGATAGATATATTTCTTATTGCAAAAGGGATTAAGGGATATGGGGATAAAGCAGGATTAGGTTATTAGCTGGAGTTAGATTAGAAGATCAGCCATGATTGAATAGCGGGGCAGACTCGAAGGGCCGAATGGCCTACTCCTGCTCCTATATGTTATGTTATGATATCTGATTGATAGACAATGTCAGAAATATAATGCATAAACCGTGACTGTAGGAAGAGACGTTGTTCACTGTGAGCAGGGATCATTTTGAATGAAATCTCTGAGTAGTTCTTGTTTCGACAATCTCTGCATTCCTCTGACAGACTCATTGGGCCCATGGTCTTCTTTGCTGTAAGTTTTCTACCACATTTGGAGTTTCCATGATTCTAACACACAAAGTTTTCATGATTCGAACACACAAAGAGAAGAAGATGAGAAGCACAAGGAATGATTTGAAATGAAAAGCATTCATGGAAACCATAGGGGTTTCCACGAGACCACAGGAGTAAATGACTAACTATTCATTTGAATCAAATTAACACCCAATAATCATCAGTGTCTATGTCTAAATGACACATGGCACATGTGATGTTTGATTTTTGCACTAAAAGAGAATCTGAGCACATAAACAACCAAAAGTTTTGCTTCAGAGTACACCAGAACTGGCAACCATGTGTTCTGTTTGTAATCTTGGTTCCTTTTTAAACAATTCTCTTGTGGGTTGAGGGACATGACTTAGTCATGGTATCTGAATCTTACACCATAGTATAATCTGTTTGTCAGAACTGCATCAAAACAGAGTATGGACAAAGCAATTGCTGCTCCAATGGTGACTTGAGTTTTCAGATCTTTATAACTTGGATAACATTGGAAAGATCAGTTTGAAAGTTTCCTGATATAGTTCTGTGCTTCAATTTCACCACAGGCTGCCCTGAACTTATGTTGAGCTCTGCAATTTATTATAAAGAGTCCATATTTAACTTATTGAAGAATCTCTCCCAATGTAGGTTGTGGCAGACGTATCATGTTTCAATTGAACATTCAGGATTACAAATTTTAGTAGAATTTACAAAATGTTATTTTATGAAGCTTTGTTTGCAGTGTTTATTAAAGTGGCGTGATTTAGAAATTCAATTTGAATAGTGCTTTTAATAAAGACTCAATTTTTGTACATCCATTATATTGAAGTTTTCAAACACCGAGACACACAGGTTAACAACTTAGGAGTTAGAAGGGAAGTCAGGCAGAACATCACAAAAGCTGTGTGGAATACATTCTTAAGGTAGGTATTTAATCACTCAGTGAACATGTGTTCAAACAGTTAATCAAGTGTGTTCTCGAAGATGAGGTGAAGTTGAGAACTATCAAAATGATTTGTTGGTCCTAATGCCCTTTCCTGTCCCAAAGGTATAACATTCTAATATATTTTATGCTGTATCTTACAAACCATCATCGTGCTGTTCTGTCATTCATTCTTATAGATGTTAGATTGCGATAAAGTTTTTTTTGTAATATTCCAGTGTAATTCAGTTGCAGCATTTCAGAACGCATTTTCCCTTGGTGTCCTTGCCAACAATCCAATATTTCATGGCTGTTTCTGGTACACTACTCTGTGTAAATTGGCTGTCACATTTGCCTACAAATATACACTGTAACAGTGAAATCCTGTAAAATTCTTGGAAGTGTTTTGGAGATGTGACAAGCTACTATGTCAAATGGAAGGAGGATTATTATTAGTTACATATATATATACACATTTACCCTAACAGAAAAAAATGTTTTCTTTGATAATTATTTTTCTAACAAGAAATGTGTCTGTTTCTCAGGGTGAAAGTGGCAAACCTGGAGCAAATGGCAGTCCTGGTTCCAAGGGTGAAAGTGTGAGTCCTTGTTATTTTGTACCATTTTTAAATTAGGAATATTAGTTCAAGGATTGAACTTTCAAAAGAGTTATCCACAAAATTCAACTAGTTCATACTCACACGCTCTAAGCTCTGTATCCCCCAGCACACCAGTCCTTTCCAAGTTCCACTGGTTCCCTATCACAAAATGGATTGACTTCAAGATCCACACACCACACACAAATACTTTCACGCTCTGGCACCTCCCTACATCTCCGGCCTGCTTTCTCCCCACTCCAACATCTGCCACCTCACTCAGCTGGCTCCGGCCTCCTGCTTGTACCTCATCTCCTCTGCTCCACCAGCCACTACGCCCTGAAACTTTGGAATTCTCCTTCCGCCTTTCCCCCTTCCTTCCCCTTTTTCAGATCACACTTGAAGAACTTCCTCTTTGACCTTGCTTCCGGTCACCTCCTCCCTCCCTCCCTCCGGTTCGGCATCAGGCTCCGCTACTGTTTTGCACTCCGAGACACTACCCCACATGAAGGGCACTATACAAATGCAAGTCATTGTTATAGTGACTATGCTCCTGAGAAAATTTATAGTTCTTTGTAAGTTTAATCTTTTTGTTGCTTTGTGCTTAACAAAACAATTAAGCTTTATTGGAAGTTTTCTTCTGAGTGTAACTACTCTTTCTTAATAACCACTGCCATTGTTAGTTCAGTCAATCAGCACCAATCTACTGAATAAGAGGCATGAATCCTGCCAAAAGAGACAGGGTCCAGTTATTTCTTGTGTAAAACATAGCATTCAATCAAGATACATGAGCCTAAAGCAAATTAGCTGTTGTTTTTGCTTACTGTAAGCAAATATACAATATACAAATATACAGTTACAACTCTTTATCGTGAAATCCCTTGTTTTGGAAACGCAATACGGCACGATATGAAACGTTAGGATTAATTAGAATTTTTCCATTCCGCAAGTTTCCTTGCTCTATTAATGGCTGAACAAACGAATGGTTAAATCATGAGTGACATGTATTTATGTGTATTCAAATTCAACTCATTTTAAGACAATTATATTACCTGTTTCTAGGGTGCAACTGGAACTCCAGGTGTCCCTGGTTCTTCTGGAGAAGAAGGTAAAGCAGGTCCACCTGGTGAGAAAGGGTCTTCTGGTCCAAATGGTCTTCCTGGTGAGAGGGTAAGAAAAGACCTTCTTCATGTCATGAGTTAAGAAAAGACGTTAGAGTTAAAGTTTTGGTTCATGTAATGTTTAAATCAAATAGACTTGTGGTAAACCCTCCCTGCCCACCCCCCCACTGGGGACTGCTTAATGGCAACATCTAACAAGCAAGATCCCATTGGAACTGGTCACCGAGCTCACGGATTTTGACCTTTGATTGTGGCCTTCAGTTAGTGGTGTCTCATTGAAGATTAGTCATTCAACAACCCTGTGACCTGCCTTCCTCAAGGATCAGCATTGTGGATGGTATTAAGATGGATGGGGAGAGATGTGGATGCTACAGCCTTTCAATGTGATCAGTATTACGTGGACTGTAAATTTGACCCCAATCTTCTTGTGAGAGTGAAGCACAAAAGAGACCATTAGAGTACTGGTGAGAAAATAGGAAGTTGTCTCACACTTAATTACACTCGAACTTAAGGAGCATCGCACAGCAGGACAACTGCAGTGCATTAGTGTGCTGATACTGTCCTCTCTTGTCATATTTGTAGTTGATGTAAAAGGCAGTTCTGAGCAGTGACTTTATCTTTTACCACAGCTTAAACATGAAAGTTGGAGATTGCTGTTTTCATTATTGCCGAGTTAATCACAGTAACACTCCGAGAATGAATAGGGACATTGAATAGCGAATGAGTGAGAGAAGCCAGGTCACAGGATTTGGTCAAAGACTTGTTGCTATACTTATGGAACAACATTGAAAGGTGAAGGGTTCTGGTTGAAAGAATTTGGCAAACTTTTCTTCTTCCATTTGTTTGCAAACTCACGCACAATGGTTTAAATAATGTAATTTGCATACCTTCAAAATCAAATGAAAGAAATTAAGTTAAATGTTTACACTTCTCTTCAAATATAAAGGGCTTGCAAGCACTTTATTCATGAAGCCAGAGTGCCTCTAAGCATCCCATTATCCAGAAAAATGTATGGCATTTCTCAATAAAACACTGTGTTGATCAAAGCAGAAAATCTGCCTGGCAAATAACAATTCATAGAAGATCACCTGGAACTCAAGAGCGGTGACGCAATGGATATGTAGAACAACCCCTTAGCAATTTAAGTCCTTCATACAAACAAAGAGGATATGTTAACCTGCTTGAGAACAATGTTAGAAGCGTAAAGTGCAGGCTGAAATGAACAAATTCTCAACCAGATGCAATGATTTCTGTGGTAATGAAATTGCGGAATGTGTGGGGTGGGAGCTGGTACCATTTTCTGGGAAGGGAAGATGGTAGGGTTGTACAGGACACATCTGGAAATGGATAAATATGTTGCAATATCTGCTTGATTGCCTTTGTGGTTCAGCAGCTATTGATTTAATACTTTCCCCCAGAAAATAAAGTAATTGGGATGAAGCCAGTAACAGGAATAACTTTTTGTTGTGGAAGGAGCAGCTTAATGACCCAGTGCTCTTTCTTCATTCCCTGACTTTGCCTCTTAAAGTTTGTGTACTGAAAGCAATCACGCTGACTTGCTGAAACTCTATATTATGAATATAATTACATGCATGCACTGAATGAAACCCGGGTCCTTGATTCATTTTAACAGTTTAATAAATTATGAAAGATGCACTTTTTGTGTAAAAACGTTGCCCACCCATAGAATGCATATGGATCAATATAAAATTCTTTTGAAACATTTAATGCATGAAATTGTATAATTTGTATCATGCTGTTTCGATTCTGGTTATTGATCACCTGAAGGCAGATCCAGTGGTGTCCAATTCAGTGTCTAATTTTTTGGACCAATAATGTTGCATTTCACCAGGATAAGCCTATAGTCCATTGTTCAGATGGATGTTCTAACTCTACCTTTCTATGAGAAGGGAAGATAACATCCATTGGATTCCTGTAGCTCACTGGTTAGAGCACTCGCCTCGCAAGCGAGAGGACCCGAGTTCGATTCCCGGGGTGAAACCTTAGGCAAGTTTATTTACTCCACATGCTTCTGTTCACCTAGCAGTAAGTAGGAACCCGGTTGTTTTGATTGGCATTTTGCATTTCCGGGGTGATAATTCTTTTTAAAAAAATTGGCCACTCAATCCACGACTGTTTATGGGACACTGCTGTGCGCAATTGGCTGCCGCATTTCGCCCACAAAATATACCATCAATTCGCTTGACAGTAAATTCTGTGAAGCACTTTGAGACGTCTCGAAGACATGATAAGGCGTTATACCAAATGCAAGGATTATATATTTATTGACATAAAATGTCAGATTGTAATCACAGTTATATCAACAGCATTGCATAATATTGTAATTGTCCTCTGATCTTCTGTTCTCCTGTTTTAGGGATCACCTGGGATGAATGGAATTCCAGGTCCCGGTGGACTTCCTGGTGAAAAGGTTGGAAGATCTTTTTTTGTCTTCAATTAATCTTGTTGAAATACTGTTAATTTTCAGCACTATCTACTGTCTGATGGTAATCCAATTGCATTCTTGATAGGGTCCTGCTGGAAGCATTGGATTACCCGGTCCTTCTGGTCCTAAAGGTAGCTCTGGTGATTCAGGACGCCCTGGAGATCCTGGCATCCCTGGGCAAAGAGTAAGAAAATCTTCACATCTAAAAGTTTTAACACGTTTAAAACATTGGAAGCCCTCATTTGTACTAACATTGGTTAAGAGTGTTTAATTCTCCCCGACCCTGTTTTTATTCTAGGGAATACAAGGAAGTCCAGGACACGCAGGAAAAGGTGGTCTACCTGGACCACAGGTAATTTCCAACAGACCTTCTGTGGATGTATTCTGGTAGTGTGACAAATGGATTCATATTTGCCTTTCTGTTGGTTGGTGTTTTGGAGTTTTAAACTACCGTTTTCATTCATTGCTTTTTACAAACCAAGTAATAGTTTTCTTACTTGAGAATAGTTGCACTCAAACATAAGGAGCACTGGACTCCACTAGCATTGAATGAAATTCTTCGAAATTAGTTGTTTGTGGACTTGTGTAGCTCAGTGCTTAGAGCACTTGCTTCGCAAGCGAGAGATCTGGGTTCGATTCCTGGCAGGTCAAAACCTTGGTCAAGTTTCCTTACTCCACATGCCTGATAATAATCCCTCAAGAAAAAAAGAAAAAATTGGTCACTTCAATCCAAGACTGTTTGCAGGACAACAACAACAACAAGATTTCATTTATAGAGCGCCTTTCACGTTGGGAGGATATTGCTGAGCGCACTTGCTTGCCGCGTTTTGCCCACAAATGTACAGTCAATTCACTTTGCAGTATATTCTATGAAACGCTTTGAAACGTCTAGAAGACGTGAAAAGCGCTATATCAAATTCAAGGAATATTATTGTTATTATTATTGTTTGGTGATGTGTCACCAATATACTACTGAAGCAAAGTTACTTCAGTCTCAACAGTCAAGTGCCAGAAAAACAAAGCTAGTGTACACTTCCTGCTCTATATTGTAGTCCATTTATGCCATTGAACATGCGATTTCTATCCTGGCTAAAAATAGAACTGCAATGTAAAATTTGTTTTATAATGTGCAGGACCCATTGTTACTTCAAGAAAACCAAAGCAATTTGTAAGCGCATTTTTTAGATTGTATGTTCAAATCGCATCACATGTTTAAATACAATTCAGCTGTTTAATACGTTATTATTGTTAGAATGCTGCACTGCAGAAATAAATGAAGCATCAACTCTTGGATTCTTAGTCACTGATATTGCTGAATTTGTTTTGGGAAACTTTTGCTTTAGTCCATATTCCCTCTTATAATAATCCTTGCATTTGATATAGCGCTTTTCACGTCTTCTCGACGTCTCAAAGCGCTTCACAGAATAGACTGTAAAGTGAATTGACTGTATATTTGTGGGAAAAACGCGGCAGCAATTGCGCACAGCAGTGTCCCACAAATAGTTGTGAATTGAAAATGACCAATTTATTATTGTTTTGTTATGTTATCAAGCACTCCTCCGAGCCTGCCATGCATGTTTAACGTTTAGTTAGTTGCAAGACAACACTTCTACTAGAGCCATTTACCTTCCGCACATAGGTTACATGTATGAAAATCCTGTCTGAATTGTATTGAAGTGTTGCAATATGTTACATACAAGAAGAATTTTACGTTTTGTGTGGAGAGAAAAAAGCAGTAGGAGTCTGGGGGATAAAGAGATTATTATCCTTGTCAAATCATCTTGCTTTTATTACCAGGGTCTATCTGGTGAGAGGGGTGGTCCAGGTCCTGATGGTAGACCAGGTTCAAGAGGACAACCAGGGGTGATGGGGTTTCCTGGCCCAAGGGGTGGTGATGTAAGTACACTTCAACCATGTTTCTAAATTCCTGTGAAATGTGGGTAATTCCATTCACTCTAATCTTGGGAGATTTCCTGAAATTTCCCCCCAAAAGATTGTGTTTATCATTTTCTGGTTGTAATCTTTAGCATCCTTCACAATCAATTGAGCAACAAACAAGCAAAGCCTGATGAAATTACTTTTGAACACAGTGCGAGCAATATTTAAATCGAAACTCTTCTTTCACTCAAGGGTCAATCTGGCAAGAATGGTGAGAGAGGTCCTCAGGGATCAGCTGGTGTCCGAGTAAGTACATATTTTATTAATGGCTAAAGACAAGATGTGATTGCGGAATATTAAATGCAAAGTTGCTTTTTAATATTTAATATTTTTTGCTCAATTTTCTTCCATCTTTAATATGAGAAATAAATCTATCTTGTGAATAATTTTCCAGGGGTAATAAGCTCTTCAATTTTTATAATAATAATAATTTGGTCACTTAATCCACGACTGTTTGTGGTACATGGCTGTATAAATGGGCAATTCGCTTTGCAGTATATTTTGTGAAGCACTTTGAGACGTCTTCAAGATGTGATAAGGTGCTATATCAAATGTAAGGATCATTATTATTAATATTAAAAGTAAACTGTATCAACAGGGTCTACCAGGCAAAAGTGGTGATATTGGTCTTCCTGGTCCCAGCGGACTTTCGGTGAGTACAGCATTAATTTCTCAAAATGTTTGCCTTTAAAACAAAATGTTTTATGTATTTTTAAAGTATAAATTATGCTTGTATCTCCATCCTAATAAAAGTGTACATTTTAGAATGTTATACTGTAAATAAATTAAGAAAATATCTAGTTTCCTTAATAAGCAATCATGTTAGAATTCCTATTGACCTCATTGCAGAAATACTTTGTATTTGAGCTGAGTTCCTGTGGGTTGGTGTGGCATACGTGCAGTTATTATAAAGAATTTCCAATTACATGACTTGGGTACCTGTAATTTGGACACTAATATCATTTGTTCTTTCCCTTTATGCTCTTCCCTATCGTATGTTGCAAAGGGAATCATTTCCATTTCCTCGACTGATATATAACAATGGGGAAATCTTATTTCCATAAGTTTAACAATGACATTCATTTAAACGACAGTCAACAAGAAGATGCCGTATTCTTAATTTCTGATCGGGAGATGCTTTATAGAGTCTTTAAACTTGTCACATATTAGATAAACTCCTACGTGTACAGCAATACAAAGTATGACTTGGATTAAAACACAGTGATTATGATATAATATCTTTTTTCCCGAGGGACCGACTGGTGAACGAGGAGAGCCAGGGGCTCCAGGTTCTCCAGGATTCCAGGTACATCTAGTTTGGTTGACTTAGTATAAAGGCCCTAATGATTGACTCAGTAATTGTTTACATATTGTTAGAGCATTAACAAACGGTTGCTAGCTAGATTTCATGTTACAGGAATGGCTAGCAATAACAACCAGAATTAAAGTGGATTCTATTAAAGATTTGCTTCAGTGATTGTGGACTTGACTGCAACTTTTCTTTCTTTGGTTGTTAGGGTCTAACTGGTACTTCAGGTCCTCCTGGTGAAAACGGCAAGCCTGGGGATCCAGTAAGTCAACATTCACGAGTTTTAAACAAACCATAGATGAAAGATAGTTGAGTAAATTGCTTTTGCTTTTATGTTTGGACATTGTTTTCAAAGTTACTGATTGATGTTGTCTGAGATACTGCTCTTGGATGAAACCTATGGGTTTACTTGTCACTATCTGCATTCTTCCAAGGAAACAGTGATAAGCTGCAAAAGGAACATTGTGTTAGTCACGACTACCATTTAAAGTTACTGTGCATTTACGTTAATAAAACGGGGTTTCAGAACTGTGTTCATTTTTCCAGACTGGACTTACCTCTGCTGTTTTTCCTTTATAACAGGGTCCCTCTGGTACAAATGGTCTCCCGGGTCCATCAGGTTCCAAAGTAAGTCCAAATCCTTTTGTATTTGGTAAACAAATCAATGTCATTTGAAGAGATTGCATGACTTAGTTCTCAAACTTTGAACCGCAGGGTGAGGCTGGCAATTCAGGTGAACGTGGAGTCCAGGGTCTTCCAGGACCTTCAGGATTACGAGGTTTTCCTGGTTCTAGTGGACCAGCAGGATCCAAGGTACGTTATCCTTCAAGAAATCTTTGATCATGCAAACATTGAGTGATTCTGTATCACATTGCTATTTCTCTTCATCAGGGTCCCATTGGGCCTGCAGGTCCTCCAGGTTCAATAGGAGCTTCAGGATTGCAAGGTATGCCAGGTGAAAGGGGAGGTCCAGGTGACCAAGGTGTTAAAGGTGAAAAAGTAAGTGTGCTTTTCATTTAGCTTCTATTGAGTATACAGTGTTCTGCGCTAAACTAAAGGCAAAATACTGCAGATGCTGGAAATCTGAAATAAAAACAGAAATCGCTGGGAACACGCAGCAGGTCAGGCAGCATCTATGGAGAGAGGAAATTAATGTTGTAGGTCGATAACCTTTCAGCAGAACTGGGAGAAAGTTATCAACCTGAAACATTAACTCATTTTCCTCTCTCCATAGATGCTGCCTGACCTGCTGCGTGTTCCCAGCGACTTCTGTTTTTACTTTAGTGTTCTGCGCTATTGTGTTGAAAAGGTCTTTAACTATGTTTCTCACAAAGATCTTTTCACTCTTGACAGGGAGAACTTGGTACTAGAGGTCCTGATGGCATGCCTGGCAAAGATGGTAGTAGAGTAAGCACGCTGTAAAATAACTATCTATTGGTTACATTTATTTACCTGTATGATTTACGACTCAAATATTTATCGTTTCCTCTTCTCACCTAGGGTTCCCAAGGTCCTACCGGTTTACCAGGACAACATGGATCCATAGGACAAAGAGTAACTTTTTGTTTCATATGTTGATATTATTTTTCTCGAGTAAACATCAGTTGCCATTTACCGCCTGTAAATTGAATACAGTTGAAAAAATATATAGAGTTTTAATGGCAGGTTAAAATAAGGCACCTAAGGAATAGCAAACACAATGAATCCTGTATGCTGGTTGTATCTATTGATCTGCACTGAAGACACATTTACTTTAATTGGGGGATCAATTGGTGTTCATATACCGTTCTTTGGAACAAAAGCTGTGAAATATTTGTTACTGATTTTGTTCTTCGATCTATCGAAGATCAAATCAGATATATACATGTTGGCGACAGTCTCATTTTTTAAACTATAACTTTTTAATTTTTTCTTGCTCTCGTTTCCTTCCCTGCCCAGGGTGAGCCTGGCTCTGCTGGTGGTCCTGGCCCTGTTGGTGCTCGTGGCAGTCCTGTGAGTACAGCTTGCTTGGGAGTAAACTGAATGAATGTTGAAAATAATCAGCAGTGAATATTGAATGTTATCTTGAATGTTATCCTTTTTGAAACAGTATCTAACCTTAGTTCAGGCGGAGTTCCACGCCTAAAATAAAAAGGTCTTCCAACTACAGTGAGAGAGTGGGATTAAGAAATGAATGGAATTAAGAAAGGTTACTCAACTATTCTTAGCGTGAGAATTTAACCATTCTGATTTTTATGGTGGGAAATGTAACACAAATGCTCAAGAGTAAATGACAACATGATTAACTTTCAATACTGTTAATGTTTCCATTGGTGTTTGTCTTCCCCCATTGATTAAGCACATATGAACACCATGCTGTTTGTAACATTTTATTCTTAAAGATTACACAGCATAATCTTTAAGAATACGTTCAATTGTTTATTTCTAGGGTGAACGAGGAGAACCTGGTTCCAAAGGACCTAGTGGATTTCCTGGGACTCCAGTGAGTATCGCCTGCTTTGCTTTAATTTGTTTAAGATAATGAAAGGGTGTGAGGAATTAATCATGGAAAAGCCCTTTCTGCTACTAGAGAATTCAAGAAATTCAATGCAAAAGAGTATGGATTCAAGATTGTGACTAGAAGTAAAATGAGAACTTCTTCTCCCAGAAGGTTGTCAGGGCATAGATTGATTTGTCGCCACTGACTACCAGAGCAGAGGGCATTGGAGCATTCAAAAGGAAATGTACAATGCAGTGGAAAGGTATTCACATACCTGGGGAAAGAGCAAGGAATTGGGATTGGGATCAATGTCTTTTTGGAGGAACAAAAGCCTAAACACAAAAATGGGCTAAATAGCATCCCATCTGCCCATTCAGGTGGATGTTAAAGATCCCATAGCACTATTCAAAAAGAGAAGGGAGTTTCTCTCTCCTGATTTCCTGATCAACAATCCCCCAAATAAAATTGGTGGCTCGCTCCACTGCTGTCAGTGGAACATTGCTGTGGGCAACTGGCTGCCACATTTCATCCACAAAATAGCCAGTCAATCCACTTTATATTATATCCCCTGAAGCACGTTGAGATGTCTCAATGACGTGATAAGGCAATATATCAAATGCAAGGATTATTTATTGTAATATAACTCGATCCAAATCAAGGGTGTGTTAGTAGCTTCTTTATTTGTCAATTCAAACCTTCAGTAATCCATGACTCTGAACCACACACGTCGTCCCACTCCCAGTATCCGTTTGTACTTCCTGCAGGTGATTGATTAATTTGTGAAAATGCTATTCAGTTTGTGAAATTGTGAGACATTGTAAAAGTCCATCTTTTTCACACCTTCATTTTGGTTGGACGTTTTTGGTCCCATAAAATAAACTGTTTGAAAAAGTAGAAAAAGCAGATCATGATAAAAAGCCATGATCTTGTGTTTTTTTTACCTGACTTTTACTGTGATCATCACACTGATTTATTCATAGCAAAGCTCTTCATTGCTGCTTGTTAAGTTAGCACATTTGAAATAAAATTACATTGAATATCTCAATTTACTGCTGGTAGGTGATCAGTTAAGCTTCTATGTATTAGTGTTATAATATGCAGTGCTCATTATCAGGTACTAAATGTACGCAATTGCCATCAGCAGTGCTTCAAGACTCTTTAATCTACAAGGCTTAAATCATCTTGATTATTATTTTCTATTTTAAGCCTTTTAAAACCTGATGAAAGGAAAAAAATCAATTAACAGTAGTTGGTTGCACATCATCGGGACAATTGATCTGCTTATAATTTAGCTTAGAAAGATTAGTTAAAATAAAATACATATAGTGATAACATCAATAAATTATACAGCAGTGATCTTTTGTCTTGATAAGAAAGCAATGTTGATGTTATTTGCATAACTAATACAATTTTTTGTCAACCCAGGGTCTTGATGGGCAGGCTGGCCCAAAAGGCTCAATTGGGAATTCTGGTCCAAAAGGTAATTCCGGCTCTCAAGGACTTCCTGGCCCCAGCGGGTCTCCTGGTCAAATGGTAAGCCAATATTCCCAGAAATAGCTGATGGAAAATAACTTGTATCCAACAGGAACTAAACATGAATTCAGTCATTATGATGATGATGCACACTGAAGAGAACCAGTCCAATTATCTGCACTGAACAGAATCCACTCCACTGGGTAAAAGCAAGCAGTGAGGCTAATTGATCATCATGCAAAATATAAATTGGTTACAAGGCTACCTAAAGTATTCTTCTTAAACTGTCACTGTGGTACTGTACCGTGCCAGCCCTTCTCTCTCTGCCACTCTCTCTCCCCCCAACTCTCCCTCTCAAAATCTTTTCTTTCAGAGAGTGAAAGAAAGAGAAATGGAATTATCTCTTTGTCTTTGTTCGCTCTCTCTCCTTCTCCCTCTCTGACTTTCTCTTTCTGCCTCTCTTTCTCAGACTCACTTTTTATCTCTACCTGTTGAATTGTTGAATTGCCATGTGGATAAGTAGCATCTACTGTATAACAAAAGGTTAAGTTTTCAAGAAAAATGGATTGTTATCACCGGTGATCTCTGTTAACTTCCAAATTCATTTCTCTAGGGTCTTCCTGGATCAGCGGGTCCAAAAGGCAGCCGTGGCTCCTCGGGTGCTCCTGTGAGTATTGATATTATCACTATCTTCCGTTGCTCATGACAATCTGCTCTCAGGTCATCAAAACTTCCTGAAACAATTCCTAATAGCTTCTATAAGGTACTCCAGGACACTACCCTACATGAAGGGCGCTATATAAATTCAAGTTGTTGTTCTATAACAGATCTTACCAATCCTGTTTCAGAGGACATTGTTCAAAAGAGAAGGGAATTTGTCTTGGTGTTCCAGCCAATAGTCCTCCAGATCCAATTGATCATTCACTTCATGGTTGTCCGTGGGATATTGCTGTGAGAAAATTCACTCCTGTGTTTGCCTACAAATACAGTCATTACAGTTTACAATAAAATCCAATGAATTGCTTTGAGACAACATGCTATACACTAAAATCCTGGCTAGCTAGACCAACATGGGGGTGGACACCTGGAGTTTCTGCCCACAGAAATTTAAAGAAAACTATTTTTAATTTCAGGCAGATTCAAATTCCAGGTATCGGAGGTTAATGTCCATTAAGCCAGGGGTTTAACGTATGTTCAGGCACTGTATCATTTCATGTTACGGCACTATATTCAACGTAAGGATTTTTTATGTAGAAAATGAAGATAAATTTCTTCTTCAGGGCGCTGGTGGTTTTCCTGGTTCACCTGGTAGAATTGGACCTCCTGGCATATCAGTAAGTAAGAACTTACATACTTACATGTATGTCCACCCAAGGAAAACACTTACCTGGTTCATTATCCTTTATAAATGTATTCTTGTAGCATTGTTCAGCTCTTATTGTTCTGCAAGGTTCACATATATCTTCTTCCTTGTCTATATTTTGCAATCCTAACAATTAACCGACTGCCATCTTCTGAGCAGTTCTAAGCCAATTTGCGAATATGTTTCAAAATAAACTCAAATCGATTAGCTCATTTATAGCATTGCACTTCATAGAGATCTCTCTAAGGGACTAATATAATTTTTAGTTTATTCTTATTTGAGATCAAATGTTATCTAATATAGTGTGCACCCGGAGATAAGCATTGTTTCAATGCTTATACTGATCCTATTTTGTAAACAGATGTCCTCGATAAATAGAATTTGTTCACATGCATTATTTTATGTTGATTGTTATAAATGACGGTGTCTAACACAGAGGTTGGATATAACTCAAGGGTGAACCATGTTGAAGTACATAGAGTTGTTGCCTTTAATTATGTAATTAACCATCAATGAAAAGGATTACATAATAAAGGTGTTTGAACGTGGTTAGCCGTTGGCTGTTGGTCCAACCCCATTGAAAATGATATCCTTTACACTGTCCGCCATTCATTGTTGTTTTTTGAATAGGGTTCCACAGGATCACCTGGACCTCCAGGCATATCTGGCAAAATTGGTCTTCCTGGTTCAAGTGGCAAAACTGGCAAGGATGGTAGTCCTGGGTCACAGGGTATCAAAGGTGTGCCTGGTGATCCTGGTGAAAGAGGTGCCCCTGGTAAAGATGGGCTTGTGGTAAGTAAAGTAAAGTTATGTGAAGCATGTGTGTTTTTAAAAAAACAATCACTACATGGCTGTTTGTGAGACAACTCGCCTAACGCGCTCACCTACAAAATACACAGCCACTTCTCTTCACAATAAGTTCTGTGAAACACTTTGACACACCCACCTGATGTGAAAGGTGCTACATCAACTGTATTATGATTACATGATGTTGATGATTATTATTCAGTGTTGGTGGTCAAAGCTCACATACATGCTTTGTTTTAGTCATATACTTCCCTTGAACCACTGGACAGATTTTACTTGCCAGTATTAATATTTAAGTAACTTATTTTCCAAATTGTATTGAAAGGGTCCTTCTGGCATGGTTGGTCCATTGGGGCTGATTGGATCAAGAGGTATGCCAGGAACAAGAGGTGTAATGGGACTCCAAGGTAGTCCAGGGCTGCAAGGTTTACAGGTAAATGGTTTTAATTATTTAACAAAAAGTCTTTCATTATGATATTTATTATGTCACTAAATTTCTATCATGAACCTGTCTTAGAGTATCGTCTATGTATCATCAATGTGTCAGTACCTCCAAAAATGCACCATTTTGTTCATTACCAATGTGTTAACTGTGTTTGTGTGTTTGAACTGAACCTTGTACATTCAAGAGCAAGTCCCAAATAGGATGAATTACACCTTCAATTTCCAATTATGTCTCAGTCAAACTTCAACAGCTTATAAGATAGTTTTCTTCTCTGTAGCCTATTACCTTTTCTAGACATACTAATTATTAATAATAGATCTTACTTGAACTCTTATCTGCAATGTGGTTTGCAGTATTTTGATAATTGAAGTTGCTGTCTCTTTCATATCTGTTTTCCTGATATTTTCTCATGGGTGAAAGAGGCAATCTAACTTCTAATGGCCCCCGTGTGAATGGTTTTGAAATGATTCGGTTCCTTAGAATCCTAATGTCTCATTTTCCAGTGCGCTGCTTTTACTTATATTCTACAACATTTCTAGGCCTTAGACAACATGATTACAAAAGTCCTCATAACTTAACCCTAGCTTAACTTGTCACTACCACTTAAGTCATCATGCCGCATTTATTTATGTATTTAAACATGCGCCTAATGTGCTCCTTCAGATAACTCATCACTAAGTCCTTTTCCTTTGGAGTGACGCGTTATCAAGAGTTTACTATAGTTCATTCAGTTTCAATACTTTTCTTGTCTTGGAGGGTTTGCAATGTTTTTTCAACACAAAGAGTTCCAGTAGAAAAAATTGTTTTGCTTTGCACGAAAAACGTACAGTGAAACAGAAGAGTAATTATTTGCTGAGCGCAATTGGCTGCCACGTTTCGCCCACGATACAGTCATTTCACTTTATAGTGTATTCTATGAAGCGCTTTAAGATGTCTCAAAGATATGATATGGCACTATATCAAATTCAAGGATTATTATTATTTAAGTCCATGCAATGATGTGTTATTCAGGGCGAACCTGGCAAACTAGGTAGTCCCGGTAGTCCTGGTGAACGAGGATCTACTGGCCCAATCGGACTCCCTGGTATTAGCGGTCCCCCTGGTGGGAGTGGAAGAGATGTAAGTGGATTGAATCTTCTTTGACTCCCATTTAAACTGTGAATGAGAGAACTCATTGATGCACGTCAATATTCTGCAGATCAATATCAGTACTTTCAGCATGACAATTCAGAACTGGTAGTCCTATATATCTCAGTGTTCATTGACCCAGTCAACTTTGCAGCTAAGTCAAAATATTCCTGTATGTTCCTTACCTATAAATACGCAGTCACTAGACTTTACACAAGACTCTATGAAATTGCTATATGAAATATAAGGTTAATTTATTTATTTTTCTTTACTGTTTCTTTAGGGTAACTCTGGTGCTGATGGTGTTCCTGGGCGTGATGGAGGTCCAGGCCCTAAGGTAAGAACCAAATAGTGTTTTGATTAAATGTAAAAATTTAGCATCTAAATTTACCATCAATCCTACCGATCTGGCCGCTCCTTTTGCTCAGTGATCACTATCCTGCTTCATGATCCTGGCCTATCTGCCCCACCATTGGCAGGTGGATTTTCAGCCATTCTGCCCCGACTCTCTGGAACTCCATCCTGGCATCCCTCTGCCTCCCTCCCTCCATCATCTCATTCAAGGCTTGACTCAAGACCTACTTCTTTGACTACGCTTTCAGTCAGATTTCCCTGACCCACCCCCTTTTAGTTCCCACCTCCAGCTTGGGTGCCTAGCCAGCTTTGTCAAGCATTTTGAGATGCCCTCCTCACATGAAAGGCGCTATATAATTGCACATTATATTGTACAATAATTTATATTGCTTCTTTTCTGATCCATTTTTGATTTTATTTATTGGGCAGGGTAATCGAGGTGAGCCTGGCACTTCAGGTCACCAAGGTGCTCCAGGTATGCCTGGTCCCCCAGGTCAGACTGGCCAAGCTGGCAAACAAGGCAACAAAGGGGAATCGGTAAGTCTGCGAACTGCATTGTTACTCTTGGGATCACAAATTCCACCTGAGTCTAGCTTTTAATCGATTGCTATTTTTAATTTACTTAACGGATTAATCACAAATGTAAACAGAAAGATTTATTATATTTGTTTCGCGCACAAAATACACAATCAATCCACTTTATAATATATTCTGTGAAGCGCTTTGAGACATCTCACTGACATGATAGGGCATTGATAATAATGATAATCCTTGATGATAATGCAAGGATTATTATTATTGTTTTCTAAGCATTTCAAGCATTCACTATTTGGCAGATTTGTAGATACCACCCTGATTTTGAAACCCTTCGTAAAAAGTATACAAAATTCAGATTGAATTCAACAATTTTACAAATTCTGCATGAAAAAATCTAGATCCAGGTGGAATTTTACCCCCCCGACCCACTCCATGATGTGTACTGTTGTAATAAATCTTATAGCTGAGTAAGGTCTTATCTTTGTGATCATTTTGCACTTTGATCTGGAATTGCTTTGAAAGCCATCCTCTGTGAATGGAGTTCAATGGTTCAATTTAGATGGAGCGCATTGCATAATCAGAGTGTGCCTCCAGTCCTTAAGAAAGTGCAAACATTGATATGACGGACGTAAAATCGATAAAATTGCTCTGTACTGGTTAAATTTACGGAAAATTGTTGTTTTAGGAATATACTTTAAAGATTTATATGTTCTTAACTTCTTTTTTCTTCCCAGGGTAATTCAGGCTCGGATGGTCGTCCGGGTTCACCTGGGCCTTCAGGACATCCAGTGAGTTGATGGTTTACTTTGGAACATCAAATTCTGATTAAACATTAAACATATGATGCTTTTGCAACTACTGTGACATAACGTTTGATTCACTTTTAGGGATCTCAAGGTCATCCAGGACCAAAGGGTGAAAGAGGGCAGCCTGGGGGAATGGGCATCAAAGGTCACCGTGGAATTCCTGGTGGACCAGGTCTACCAGGGCCACCTGTGAGTACTTTTTACCTTGAAATAGAAATCAGGAGAAAAACAGGATAAAGAAAAGAGATACTCTGAGAATAATATAACAAAATGCTCCTAAACTGAAACTGTGCTTATGCACACGAATGCCTCAGGCGAAAACGAATTGATTTTATTTACCAAAAGGCCGTAAAACGTTCCATGCGGGTAACTTCAGAAGCTCAGATCCAGTCGATGCTCAGTTATTCGGTTTGTTCTCCTGAAAGAGAGACAGCCGTGTGGAACATTCTGAAGGATAGCATGTCTGGAGAGTGAAAATCAAGATTGGAGTCTGCAAAGTTGGAGAATAAAAATGTTAAGGGTGCAGTGGGGTAGTGATCTGATCTAAGAGTAACCTATTTTGACCAGCCTACGTTTGTTTTTCAAGTCTACTTCCTTAAAACAAAGACTTAGTTTCCTTTATCAATACGTGTCATCTGTAGTATTGTTTCATGAGAATCTTTCTTTTCTCTCCAGGGTTCCTTTGGTGAATTAGGTCAACCTGGAAATCCTGGATCTCAAGGTGCCAGAGTGAGTCTAATGATCACATTTGCAAGACTGCCTATCAACTTTTCAAGTGATTATTTTCAATGTTATTAAGCAGAAGCCACTTACTAAGGACAACTTTTTATAACTTTCAATAATTTCATTCAAATTATTTGAATACAATGCAAGCAATGTTTTCATTTGCATGCATAAAATTAAGAATCAATCCTGAACTCCAAAAATCCCTGACAATTTACATCTAAATATACTCCCTCTTAATTCTCCGATTTAATTCAATGATACTCAACTAACAGTTCTTGTTCTTGATTCTAGTCTCACATGAATTTGAGGGAAATTGGAATCAGCAGACTTTGGTTCAAAACATACACCAGAAATGTATGCAGAAACCTTATTAATGAAATTCCGCAATATTATTTTGTGACAAAATGACTTATGAGGACTTAGTTGAAGCACTCATCTCAATGTGCTGAGTTCAAATGGATTTGGATTTCTAAAGAGGCGGAGGAAGAAAAAAGTAAGCAGAATGCAGACAGAGCTGCATGAATAAAACTCTCTGTCATATACCATACTCCTCTTCTGCTATTGAATTCAATACAAAGGTTATCAGTTTGTATTTGCCTCCCGAGTTTGATAGATTTGAATCAATTCAAGTAAAACTGTCTGCACAATCGGAACATGATTCATCCCAAGCTTGCCTTCATTGAGAATTTTCTTTGTTCAATTGGCTATTTGTTAAATACGCGGTGAGACTCTTGACAGACAGGGTGTTCTCAAACAAACAGTAATTCCTCAGTAAAAACAACATTGAGGACTGGTTGAGCCTGTTTCTATTGCCACATATTACTTTATGTAACTCTATATGATAGATAATGGAATCTATATCGGAAATCCTGTTGTCTCGCATGAAACCATAACTGAAAACCACATACATTAACTTGATCAATCCAAACACTGACATTCTCAAAATTGGACACAAGCTAAATCCAACATTGAAAAAAACATTTCGAAACAATCGAATGAAGGATATTGGTAGACAGAGGATGTAAATGTATGTTTCGCTACATATCTTTTTTTCTTATTCTTTCATCTTTTAAATCACAGTGTGGATCAAATATATAATTTAATCCATTATATTTTCTTCTCAGGGTCCTTCAGGTAAAACTGGTCCTCCTGGTAAAGATGGCATCAGCGGGTATCCTGGCGCCATGGGTCCTCCCGGTCCCAGGGGTACACGAGGTGAATCTGGCACTCCTGTAAGTAAACAATTCACCCAAATCCTGCTCCTGTGTTGAGTTGAAACGAACAAGAAATTATACATTTTATACGGGAACATTGTTTGAATTTAACAGGGGCCTCATGGTGAAAAAGGTATCCCTGGTTTCCCTGGGTCACCTGGTCCTCCTGGGCCCTGCTGTGGAGCGGCAATAAGTGGAGTGCCTTCTGGCGAGAAGGGTGTGCCATATGGGTATTACAACGACCAGCCCGGAGATGCCAAGAAGCAACAGGATGCAGAGGTAATAGCGACCCTGAAATCACTAAACGGACGGATAGATGCCATGGTGAGCCCTGACGGATCACAGAAGAATCCAGCCCGAAGTTGCCGTGACCTAAAATCCTGCCACCCGGAATTTAACAGTGGTAAGGAAGCTGTGTTTTATGTTTGAGGACAAGATTGCCATTTTCTTCGCTTTGGGTTCAGTACTCTGGTTTGCGTTCACCACAGCTTTCAACACAGGTTAAATCCATGTACATTTTATCATGAGTATTTTTAAAATGCTTGATCGTGCTTAGTAAGTTGCATTACATTCTTTCGGCCAGTGTGAATTCTGGGGGCTATGAGAGTAAATATCTCACAACTCCAAACCCAAAAATCCTGCATCTTTTCTTTGCATTGAACTTCCAATTGCCAAGTCAAACTCCTACATGTCCTGAACTGTTTTGGAAGGAACTCCACAAGGGTATCTATACAATGGTTATTGTAGTGCAAAGTTCACTAGATTAGGTCGGTTGAAGAAGGCTCTTCATCCCATCTGATCTGCTTTACCTTAATTTCATTTCAAGTTATCATAATTTATAAGTGTTTATTTTTTAATCAGTTATATTGAACAAAAGGTTGCTCAAAGTGAGATCACTGTGAGGTAGTTAGAAAAACTGTCAAAGTAAGTTACTTTGTTGAGTAAATTATTCCTTAAGTTGTTTACACTGAAATGTGAACGTATTGTTATTATTGATCCGCAGATTGGACCTTAGATTTACAGGGGTATTTGAAACTTTGGTTTGTAATTTGATGTAAAATGTCACTTTGTCTTCACAGGAGAGTACTGGATTGATCCCAACCAAGGCTGTAAATTGGACGCCATCAAGGTGCACTGCAACATGGAGACTGGGGAGACCTGCATGCACCCTAACCCTGCGAACATCCCACGTAAGAGCTGGTGGTCAAACAGAGGCAGCCATGAGATGAAGCATGTGTGGTTTGGAGAGTCTATGGATGGCGGCTTTCATGTGAGTGTCATTAGATCACTTTCATAATAAAATACAACAGAATTGGTTTAATTGTCTGGCTTTAAAGCAGGATCTATTTTAATTTGAGAAGAGATTGATTCACTAATATTTGAATTCCTAAAGCAGATTTCATAAAAGTTGAAATTCACATTTCTAAGTCAACCATTGAAGATGGTTTACCAAGCGCCTTGGTATGTCCTCCCGTCGTGAAAGGCGCTACACAGATGTAATTTTGTATATTATTGTATGTATGTAATATCCATCTCTTCAAGCAGTTGCAGAGAACATGACTGCTCCTATTTTGCACTTGTGTTAATTCCACAACAACAACTTGGATTTATATACGCCCTCCACGCTGGACGGCGTCTCAGAGCGCTTTACAGTAATGGATCCCGGGACCGAGCCAAGGGGAGGGGGGGGAAGGTGACCAAAGGCACGGTCGAAAAAAAATGGTCTTCAGCAGAGATCCAAAAATGGGAAGGGAGGGAGCGAAATGAAGGGAGTGAGGAATAATCCTTGTTGTTGTTGTGTTAATTCACACATCACAGGTCAGAATTGTCTGTTTGTAGAATATTGCACTTCTAGGAGAAACACTAAGCAATGTACTTGACATCTATAAACCTCTTTTCATTGCAATTGAACACATTCAGAGACTATTTCTCTGTCTTCACAGTTCAGCTATGGTGACCAGGGCGTGGATGAAGACGTTGCTGAAATCCAAATGGGATTCCTTCGTCTGCTTTCCGTTCGAGGTTCCCAGAATATAACATACCACTGTAAGAATAGCATTGCATACCTGGATGCTGAAGCTGGAAATGTCAAGAAGGCTTTAAGGCTGATGAGCTGGTCTGATTCTGAACTCAAGGCTGAAGGAAACAGCAAATTGAAGTATGGGATCCTTGAAGATGGATGCAGTGTAAGTTGCACAAATCTGATCCATTGATGGAAAAAATAATATATAATAATAATCCTTGCTTTTGATATAGTCGTCAGTGTTTAAAAGTGCTTCGCAGGATATACTCTAAAGTGCAGTGATTGTGTATTTTGTAGCCTATTTGCCTACGCAATCTCTCTCAACCAGCTGTGGAGGGAATGACAAAATGTCAATTTGAAGTAGAATATTATTTCTTGTATAAAAGAATAAGATTGAAGTTATTTTAGTTTTGCACTATATTATAAATTGCCACATGATCAACACTATCCAACCAGCTAACATGATGAGTTCAAGAACTTAACTAACAAAATAACTTTTTGTCTTGTCTCCTCGCAGAAGCACAGTGGAGAGTGGGGCAAGACAGTCATTGAGTTTAGAACACGGAAGACTATTCATTTGCCTCTTGTGGACATTGCTCCCATGGATATCGGTGCTGAGGACCAGGAATTTGGCATTGACATTGGCCCTGTCTGCTTCTTGTAATATTTAGGATTATTTCAATGCAATTGTTTCCCGTTCTACTAAAAAAAAACGGACACTGAACTCATCCATCTCTTTACTGCATCTATCTACATGCATATGTTTTGATACCCCCATCAAGACTGAATTAACCTGCAATCATTATTTATAGTTTTTAATTAAGACAATAAATTGTGAGAAATATCAAAATGGAAGAGCTGCAGCAAGAGAATTCTGCCAAACATAAGGATACAAGTGAGCATTTGCACACGGTGCTTAGCGCTGGGTTAAATCAGCAAAGATTCCTTTACCCAGCACAACTTGATGAAAGTCATAACCTGATGGAGCTTCCCCAGTTTCAACTACCTCATAATGGACAGAAACTGCAATAGGTTTTAATGCTCCCAGGAGGATCCATGCACTACACTGGGAAGCTGAGTATGCACAGGGTTACAACAACAACTTGCACTTATATAGCTCCCTCCACACAGGGCAGCGTCTCCGAGTGCTTGAATACAGATCATACAAGGATGATTCAACCACAGGTGTAAGTTTGTAGGTAGTTATCACTGATGCTCCTAGGTGACTAAACTGAAGCAAATGTTAAAATATCCTGAAGTTCACTGTTACTCACTGGTGTTCCCTTCTGTTTTTTATTTTTATTGAATTGGTGCTATTAAAGGAACAGATATTCTAAAGTTGGTCAAAAAAACTTTTTGATCAATTCCTTGTTTAAGTATATTCACTTACTGATCAGTATTGTCACCATTTTACCAGCTTTCCACACATCAACCATTTTCTATATTATTGTCAATAATAATCAAGTGGATAAAGGAAAGGTTTCAACTTATTTTTTTACTGATACTAACCTCAATCTATAGAGGAAAGGCCAAACTTTTTTATTCTATCATGCTATTGTACACGTTTGGTTGTCATAAAAGGAACAAATAAAATTTTATTGAAAAATCTTATTTTGCATCTGTCATCTTTTCCCTCACCAGGCTCCCTTCAGCTCCCACTCCCAGTTTGTGTGTCCAGCCAGCAGTGTCAAGCGCTTTGGGATGTCCTCTCAATGTGAAAGGCGCTGTAGTAAATCTAATAAATGTAAATTGTATTACTTTGGCTTCACCATTGTACATTAGCACTTCAGTTATGTGATGACCATTCTCCGGTAGGAGAACCTCACCATAGGGGGTGAGGGAGAATTATTGGTATCAAAGGTAGTAAATAAATGTGATCGGGCGGGGGTGGGGTGGGTGGGTGGGGGGGGAAGAGCTATAGGTAATGTCAGAATATGATGAGATTTGGGAGTTCCACAAACCCCGAATGTTTTTAGTGTTTAAAATACTGAATGGGACTAGCTACTTTGCAGATAAAAAACCAGTGTGGATAACTGTACAAAAGATAAATTGGCTAGTGTCCTCATCAGAGCGACTAAATCGCTTGCTCATGAGTCCAACTACAATTGCCAATATCTCACACTGTTTGCATTGGAGCCTGGTGTGGATAATTGGGGTGCATATAGCCAGCACCCTGGTATACTGGGAGTGATGGTGCTTTATGCCCAACAAATATAGCAATGTGGACTGAGAAGCTTGATTTATATTTTCTGCTGTTCCTCATTTTAAAACTGGGATGAAAAGGAACAAACAATCATATGGTTGTGCTAGCCTGGGCTTGAGGCTTGACATTTAATTAGGAAATGGTATACTGAAAGATTGGTGCCATCCAACAAACAACAGGATTGTGAGGCCAGTGAAGCTTGTGCTGCAAAGAGAGAAAATTTTAAAATCCACAAAAGCAAAACAACATCAAATTACATAATTCAACACTGAGATAATCGGACAAACAAACTGCAATGCTTATCAAGGCAAGTCTTTGGAGCCAAACATGCCAACAATAATGCTGAAATAAGAGAGGTGAGGTTGTGTGGAGGCCAAAAAAGATTTTTGATAAGCCTAGTTAATCATCTGGAGAATACATCGAAAATAAATGCACAATAAAAACAGCCATGATTTTCTATCAGTGTAGATGTTGGCTGATAATGGGATCTGCTTTACGAGCGAGTAAATCTGCTGACCCTCATTCTTATCGCTCAAGTATGAATAAAAGTCAAGTGGATGTGATACCTGAGGGCATGCATAAAAACATAAGAACATAAGAATTAGGAGCACGAGTAGGCCATTCGGCCCCTCGAGCCTGCCCCACCATTCGATAAGATCATGGCTGATCTTCAGACCTAACTCTAATTACCTCCCCTATCCCCATATTCCCTAATCCCTCTATTTTATTAAAAAATCTATCAGTCTCAGCCTTGAAGATGTTCAAGGACTGAGCATCTATTGCCTTCTGGGGTAGTGAATTCCATTAATTCACTGCCCTCTGAGTGAAGAAATGTTTCCTCAACTCTGTTCTAAAAGGCTGACCCTTAATTTTAAGACTGTGACCCCTGGTTATAGATTCTCCTACCAGGGGAAACAGCCCCTCAGTGTCTACTTTATCCATTCCTTTAAGAATCTTATATGTTTCAATAAGATCTCCCCTAATTCTTCTGCAGCCCTTATAAAAGCGTGTAAAATACATAAATATGTTAAGGAGATGAGGAAGAGGCAGGGAAACATCAATTGATTGTGTAAAAACAAACCTTGAACATGTCAGCTCTAGCAATAGACCACCTATTGAGTCCAACAACCAGTAATTACCTTTTTTGACTTCAAATAAATGCATACCTAACCTAAATCCAAGTGGAAAGCTTTAGCATATCAAATTACTTCCTGTTCTTTATTCCCATTATATAATTTCTGATCAAATGCAGAATGGTGCATGTTACTAACTGCATGCACAATCATGTATTTATCAGGAATTTCACAGAGAGGGAGTGAATGAGCTTGTCTAGCCTCACGCCATGAAAGGTCGAGTCCCAAGAGGACTGATGAACAATGGAACTGTTAAGATCAGTTTAAGACACAACCTCAGTGGACGAGAGAAAAATGGAAGAAAATTATGGAAGAAAAATACATTCTATAACTAGCCAAGTTTAGTTGGAAAGCTAAATAATTGAATGGCAGACTATCTTTATTATCACAGTGAGCAAGATTCAGACTGTGAATTGGTAGCAATATTGATGGATGCTGCTCTGCAACACATGAGACTTGAAGTGTTCCCCCACCATCTACAAATATCTTTGTCACATGTGGTGTCCAAATTGGTCTAATTTATCAATTGTGATTAAATTACTTAATTATTCCAAGCTGTGAGAAGAACAAAGGTTGATGATTTATTGACTTGGTGATAAAAATTATTGTTCAGGTGTTTGAAATGGCCTGAATTGGGATAATTCATTGTAGATTAGTGTTTGGCACATAATCAGTCAGCATTCAGAGCTACGTGCTCAGAACCAATGATCAATGTACTGCTTGCAAGATACCAAGCAGGAATATACGTGTGCGTTATATCTTAAGGTACACATACCAAGCTAATGAAATCGGCCTGAGGATGTTTAGTGTGAATGATAGCACAGTAAGTTCCAAGACCTGAATTATCTGTCTTGTGCTTCCTTTTCTTTTCAACAAAACTCTGCTCTGGCCTTCATCTAAATTTACTTAGAAAATAGGATCATATTGATCACAAAGATGAGTTGTAATTGAGACGTGCACTGCCTGTCTGTCTTTCTCTCTCTCCCAGCCCCATGTTTTTTTGAGGTAAGGGTTTGATAAAGGTTTGGTTCCATGCCAAGTTGTTAAGCCCAGCATCTCATTACAATCCTTTTGCACCGAAAGATCTGTGTAAAGGGCTGTGCTTGGAGCCAACAAGTTTTACGTTGAGAAACAGGTTGTAGATGCGTTTAATGTGGTTTCTGTATCAGTGAGGGAGCAATCATCTGGAGGGTTAATATTTAACCTATGAGAAAGTGGAATGAGCAATGAAATGTGAGATAAAAGCAGCAATCCATGTGAATACAAGGATATTCGTTTTTTTTTAGTATACATGCAAATTGTTGTGGAACTGGATTTACGCTAAGCACCTACCATTTTAGATCATCCAGATACTGGCAAATTCTGAAATACTGCCTTCATTTGGAACAGTTTTCTGTAAATTTCTTGTAAAAATAAAAAAATGGCTTCACAATGAAGACTAGATTCAATAATTTGCCAAATTCTGGATTCTCTGAAATGCTACATAAATAATTTAAATATACCCCTAGGTGAAGTTTCTCCCCTTTTCATTTACGTAAAGTTGCTTGATGTTTGACTTGCAACGTTGCTGTTATAATTTGTGAAAAATCAGTTACATTTCTAGACACAGGATGGGTCAGCGAGCTATTCAAAATATTGCATTGAAGTTTAAAAAACTGGACAACTTGGTGCAGGCTGTGTTTGAACGCCTACATCTTATGCTTTTTAGAGCATGTGAATGTCAGTTTACTATCAGGTTTTGTGGATAGAGGAAGAGGAGATTTCCGGCATCTGTTGATCCATAGCTTGGATCTCTAAGAATTTGAAGACAGGATGTTATTCTGCACTGGAGAAGGCTTATTGCCTCAAGTTTATTTTCCCTGGAATTAAGTTTATTATGTTCTTCGGAGGAACTGTGTCCTGGTCAAGTAGAGGATGTGCTTAATTTTCCCCTGGAAGTGAAAGTTGGAGATAATATTTCTCTTAGGGCAAACTTAAGGCACACACTGTGTGCCTGTTTGGCAATTCAACAATGTAATTTACTCTGGAGAAGCTGAACATTTAGTCTAATGGATCACATTAAGCACTGAACAGCAAAGCTCAGAACTATCTGCAACTGTGGACAAGTAGCGGGAAAGTTTGCCGGACAGTAATATCAACGGTGAGCTATGCGGTTTTAGCTGGTTAGACTCTAGTAGAACCACAATGCACACTCTGGGGGTCCTCAAACCTTGGCTCTTGCCAACCTGCGCCTAATACTTTCCGGAATTAGGTAAGCAGGATGCAACCCTCCAGGGAGAGAGTGCGCGTTCCATTCCGACAATCTATCTCTGGGATTTCCATGTGCAAGTGGGATGCATGGAAATCATGATGGGTTTCCGCAAGTGTCAGATGCCCGCTGATCAGAAATCTCCACAGTATATAAAAAAATGTAATTTTGAGTATATCTAATGATCGCTTGAAAATTGCCTAGTAAGTACGCAAACTTCCTTTTTGCATCAACGACACATTTATATAGTGCCCTTCACGTGGGCAGCGTTTCAGAGTGCATCACTAAAGTAACTGAACTTCTTGTGATTCACAAAACACTAGGCTGACATTTTGCACAAACCAGAAAGAGTGAATATACCATTTTCACAGCTGTAATCATCCCAGTTCAGCCATTCTATCCAGATTGTGAAAAATGTTGAATATCTCAATAAACATTGTTGCCACTCTGGTCTTGAATTCACAAGAGTGCTATGACTTAGTTACGAGATTCACTGCCACTGTTGATTAGGGAGTTATTGTGACTGTGACACTTCCTAAATGGTTGGTGCCAATTTTATGGAGATTAAAAGCAAAAAAAAGCAAATTAAAAGCTTGAACAAATTTGTACAAACCATTTTAACAGCTGTAACCATCCAAGTTCAGCCATTCTGCCCAGATTTAAGATTTAAATGCGAAGAAAAATACCAGATTTCTATTTGGTTTGAAATGTACTGAACTCAATACATTACATACATTCCATTTTTGGAGCGAGGTAATGGAGGATTTGAAAGTGAGACAGAGGAGCTTATTATGATAGTATGAATGACTGGGCGAGTCAATCCACCTGTTGGTAGAGATTCTTCATTTTTCTTGAGGATTCTGGGCATCTGGAGAAAATTCATCCATTTAACTTTAATCTTCACTTCAAATTATCTCCAGACTCCATGGAGTGTGAAGTGAGTTACACCCCATGAAATAGAAAACAAAAAACCCATTCTAAAGCAAGGCAATAAATATACCTTCAAAAGACCAATGAAATATTT